GAGTAATTAATATCACATGCAAGTAAAATTTTGCTGAGAATAATTTAAAATTAAAAAAAAATTCAGGCTGTACACTAACAGGCAACTGCCAGATTTTCAAGCCAGATTCAGAAGATGTGAAATGATGGATATTGACTGAAAGCAGAGAACACCAGAAAAATGCTTACCTGTGTTTTATTGATTATGCAAAGGAATTTCACTATGTGGATCATGACAAATTATAGATGACATTGTAAAGCTCTTGAGTTTCAGAAGACTTAATCATGCTCACATAGAATCTGTACATAGCCCTGGACAGAGGGGCAGTCACCCGGACAGAGCAAGGGGATACCGAGAGGTTTGAAATTAGGAGAAGTGTGTGTCAGGGATATATCCTCTCATCACACTTATTCAATCTGTATAGGCTGAGCAAATCATCCAGGACGCTGGACGATCCGAGTATGAAGAAGAACGGAACATCGGGATTGGAGAAGGATACAATTATGCTTGACTTAGTAAAGAAGACTTGATGGACTACTGATGAAGATCAAGGACAACTACCTTATATATGGACGATGCTTCAAGATAAAACAAAAATCCTCACAATTAGGTCAACCATCAACAACACGATAAATGGAGAACATGTGGAGGTTGACAAGGAGTTTAGTTTACTTGGATCCACAATCAATGCCCATGGAGGCAGCAGTTAGGAAATCAAATGATGGATTCCAATGGGAAATCTGCTCAAAATATCTCTTTAGAGTGCTAAAAAGCAAGTATATCACCCTGAAAACGAAGTTGAGTCTAACCAAAGCTTTGGTATGTCAATTGCCTCATATGTATGTGAAAACTGGACAATGCCTTTGAACTATGCTGTTGGGGATGAACATGACATATGCGATCAACTGCCAGAAACCTGGAATACTCCTTGGAAGTGAGGACTGTGAGACTTTGTCTCAAGTTCTTTGGGCACGTGATCAGGACGTACTAGTCCCTAGAGTAGGATAGTAAACCCAATGTAAGTCAGAGCAAAATAAGGAGACTCTCAAGGAGGTGGATTGACCCAGTCCCTGCAACGTAGGAACAGTGTGCGGGTGGCACCTGCCCGGAGAGTGCTTCACTCTGTGGTGCACACAGGGTCTCTGTGGGCTGCAGCCACCTTGATTGCACTTCACAACAGCAACCGCGTGCAAGCACTGTGAAGACGCGATTCTAAGTCGCATGCAGAAAACACCTGTGTTTCAACGAAAAAGCATGCATCATCTAGAGCATGCACATGTTCGTTATTCTATGCCAGTCCTAATTCCAGTCTTAAGCCACTTTGCTACGTTCTCCTTTAAACCAGTTATTTCCTCAGGTCGTATAAGTAATATAAGTTAACCTGTGCTCATGTTCGTATCTCTGGGAGAGTCTTGAGCTGACCTTTTTGTGACAATTATCTTTTAAAAGCTTTGCAGGCTCCAGTAAATTGGCCAGTAGCTTCCCCAGCCAGAGCCAAGTAATCTATGTGACAGGAAACGCCGCTCGATGATGCCGTAAGCCCAGGCGTGTCGTCTCTTGATCCCAGGGAGTGAGTCCAAAGCGGTAACATCATTTGGCCTGCTCTGCTCTTCTCATTTTTGTTTTTCTCTCTGATTTTGTTTTTGGTCTGTGTGCTGCTGATAAATTGTTTCTCACTGGAAGCTTGGTTCTATGGTGTGACTGTGTAATGATCTCTGAAAAGACACAGAACTCTGGTTGTGGGGTCAGGTAAGGGTTGGACTGATACCTACAATGTGGGTGGTTCAAACCCACCAGTTGCTCTGTGGGGAAAAATGAAGGGGCCTATATCTGTAAAGATTTGCAGCTTCAAAATCTCTATCGATGCATCCAAATGGACACAATCACAGTGGCTCATCTTGTTTTGTGCTGCTAAATGAATTACTATTTCATAGGAGTCTTTTCTCCTCGGGTGAGAGATGAGAGAGGACCTGCTTTATATGTCTTTCATGTTTCCTCTGTGTTTCTTTTGACACACAGAGAACAGCTCTGACATGGGCCACTGAATTTTGTAATTGTGTTTACTCTTGGCTCAGGGATAAAATTGTCAAACTGAAATTAGAAGCCGCCTTTATCTAACCTATGTAGCTGTGTATTTAAGAACTACTTTTACTTCTCATTATGGGGAAGATATCTTTTTCTAGCTCTGGTTGGTATGAATAAATTGGATTATACATTCTAGCCAATTAAAGGAGATCTCTTTTGAATGCCTCACAGAGATAAAGGATTACAAAAGTTGAATAGCTTTTAAATTCCCAGATAATAAAAAATATTGAGTTCTGGTAAATTCAATATATTAGATTTAGAAAGGGTTCTTAAAGAAACTAACTCAGAAATGTGTTAAGAATTCAAATTTATGTAATTTGGGTACAACTTTGAGAAACGAGGCAATTTTAATAATTTTAATTAAACAGCTATGTTTTTGCTGACTTATCAGCCTTTAAGTATTCTATGTGTGTAAACTTTGGTTCTATGTTGGTGGATTCTTCTTAATCGTATAGTTTTATGAATCAGATAAGTTAGCATTTCCCATACCCATTTCCATTATGTTGATTAATATATTACTCAGCAAAATTTATTTCAATAATTATTGTGTTTTATCCAATGTGAATATCATTTCCAAAATGTTTAGGGAAATGATAACCTTAGACTGATGCTGAGTTAAGTGATTTATTTTCCTTGGATGCCCATGTCAGTGTTAAGTAAGATAGAATATGGAAACATGGGCTATTAAGCATAATTTTTAATTTATATGCTTTTGCTTCTTAATACATGCTGTAGGACTTTGTACTTTTGGATCTATGAATAGATATGCTCATTTTTGCCAACTCGAGACTGTGTAGAGCATACGTGTAGGAAATCATGTTGTGTCCTCATCATCAGTTGGACTGCAAAGATGTTAGTGTTTAATATTCAAGGCTGCCCACTCCTCAGCTTTAACTGAGAAACAGAAGTTATTCTGGCTAAAATGTATAATTATAATGCATCAGTGAGACAATTTAGCAGTAATCACAGAAACAACGGCATACGTACATTTAATGTGTCTAGGGAAACCTTAGTTTTGTCCTAATAGATTGCTAATTTTAGGTCTCAAAACTTCCTTTTCAGGGGTCACAGCTATTGACAAAAGGCCATGGTGGTTCAGTGTTCAGGGGCAGGATTTTTGCCTTCCATGCAGGAAAGCCAGCCCAAGCGCTTGGATGCTAACTGGAAGGTTGGCAGTTCGAACTCCCTCAGTGCATCCACACAGAAAAAGGCTTGGTGATCTGTTTCCACAGAGACCACAGCCAAGGAAACCCTATGGAGTAGTTCTAGTTTGTCACGAGGTTGACAATTGACTCCCTGCTAGCCAACAACGAGCATGAGATATGCATTCCGTTCCTCACTAGAGCACCTCACAAACAGCCACCATTTGTCTGTGGAACCTTGTGTGTTCCTAGGATGCTGAGCAGGTTTCAGAGGAGTTTCCCATCTAAGACAGGCCGGAAAGAAAGGCCTGATAATGGGCTTCAGGAAACCAGCCAATGAAAAGCTCGCTGGTTGCAATAGTCTGGTCTGCAAACAATCCTAGGGATGGCACAGCACCGGGCGGTGCTCTGTCCCGTTGTGCATGATGTCACTTCGAACTGGAGGCCAACTCAGCAACAGCAGACAACAAAAGCGATTGCTATTTACCAGACTGAAAACGCTCACCAGGAATATGCAATGCGTGATGGCTGCAGATTCCTTTGATGACACAAGGGCAGCTTTTCATGTCAGTAGCCCCCTAGCAGCTTTCTGAGATTAGTTCTGACCTTGAGGACCCATTAGCGTGTTCCTAAAGCAGAGCACTGCTCAGTTCTAAGACATGACAGCGCACAATGAAAGGGACCATTTAGAAAGAGATTTTATTTGCCTGAGTTGAAAAACTACTAAGTGTGTTGCAATCTTAGCCCAATGTGCTTAACTTCAAAGGGTTTATTCTTAGTTAACTGTTTATTGCTTTCAACGACATCGTGAAAGGTTATTCTTCCCCACTCCCCAATTGTCCCTGGTATAATCTGGCTGGATACCAAAGATTCTGTGTTGTGTGCATAGCCTGTTCCCTCAGGTTCATCTTTCTAATCAAACCAGGCCTGCAGCTGAGAAGAGGGTTAATGTGAGGAGAGGATAAACAGGGGTTATGAGGAAGGATACTACAGGCTGTTTTCTGAGGTTTATTTCACTTTACTGCTCCCACCACCTTTGACCTGAAGCAGAGTATTCTTCTGTGTACACAACCATCTCTTCCACGATGGCCTTTGAACTTATGGTGCACAACAGACCAGTAGGGGTGCTACCTAGGAGTTGTCGTTTTCAGAGAAATACAATTGTTCATGAACTTGTCAAGGAAAGATTATTTTTGTAGCAAAGAATATATAGGATATATATATATATACATACATTTATATATATATATATATTCAAGCTCACTGAGCATGCCAAGAAGCCTTTCAATTAGATATTTAAGGAAGCAAGTACCTCCATGGAAAAAAGAGAAGAAATAAGCAAGGGACAGAGAGAAAGAGGTGGGCAAAGGCTGAGGGCCAAGGGGTATAGAAACAATGTTGTTAAAGACTCATTCCTGGGTTTCCTCCTCCTGTCTCCAAATTTTCACCTTTATGGCCAAAGACCTAGTTCTTTCATCAGTTAAGGATGGACACGCCTTGCCTGCCCAGAGAGAGGGGAAGGAGGAGTAAAAGGAACAATGGGGAAGGACAAACAATTTGGGGAGGAATAAAGAGAATTATTGGTCTTGCTGTACCAATGCTGAGGTCTGTAGTCTTCAAGCCTAACAAGTCAACGTATCAGGCGCCTCATTGACTCTCCCAAAGAAGGATCTAATGTAGTCAG